AAGTCTAGGATGGTTCATAGAGGGAATTGGGCATTTACGGTTGTGGCACCGAAAACGTGGAACGATCTACCTCTCCACATTAGAAAGGCCCCAACTGTCAGTCTTTTTAAATCCCATCTTAAAACATATTTTTTCGCTTTGGCTTTTTATACTGCACGAGAGTTACCAATTCTTTTTATCCTAATTTTCTTTTAATTTTCTTACCTGTTGTTGCTGTTAATGCCATTGTTTAATTATTACGTTGTGCAGCACTTTGGTCAACTCTCTGTTGTTATTAAATGAGCTTTATAAATAAATAAATAATAAATATAATACTTTGGTATACAGAGGAGTTTATGGTCGACTTGTAACTGCAGGGTTTCCATGTGCAGTGGCTGCACAGCAAGCCCAAATCAGCACCTCTTAACCATTGTGTTGACAGTTGGTCAGAGATGTTTGTGCTAATACGCTGATTTTGGTTTTCACTAGACTTCTACACCTGATCTTGTCTGTCCAAAGAACATTATTCCAGAAGTGCTACCATGTTCTTTAGGGAGAGACGAGGCTTTCTCCAAACAAACCAGACTTGTTCAGTTGTACTCTCTTGTGCATTTAACATACTGATCAATACATGTAGCGTCTCATAGAAACAATAGGGTGTACTAAGTTTATTTCAAAGATCTACTTAAAGTTTTTTTTAAACTGACTTTTTTCACATGACTATATGTCACTATGTTTCATAAAGTCCAGACTACTAAACTAAATTACATATAAAAGAACATTTGAGTTGATTAAATTAACAATAAAACCAGGATTGTCAGTGGGTGACGACACACAGCAGAACATCATCAGCCCACTCTGAACCTGTTTTGTGTTAATTCACACAAACAGTGATTTTCACTGTTGTTTGTGATCATTAAGTCATACATGATAAAGCACATTGAGCTGAGCTCCATCTTTGGCAAAGGCTATTAAAATAATAATTTCAGAAGCAAATCATTAACAACTTGCCACTGATACCCTGTGACTGTTGCCACAGATACATTTGAACTTGACTTAGCTGTACGTTTGTTATAAACTGTAACCTGTACATCTGCTGTAGGACTTTTGTGTTTTACACGTTTATCTGAAGTAACCCCTCAAAAACATGAAAGGGACACAATAACATTAAGTAACTTAAGAGGGCAGTGGTAGACCAACATGTTCAATGAGGTAACGACACTGTTTGTGTCAAAGCCGGTTTTGAATACAGTACATTCATAGATATGGCTTCATCTCCCTGTTGGAAAGAACAGTCTGATGGCAGCTGTGAAAATACTCTTAATGTTGCAAACTGATTTATTGTGTTTATTTTGGCTGCTGACTACAGCCACAGAAAGCACATTATTTAGATTTAAGGCTGATTCTCCAGCAAAGGAAGATGTGCAAAAGCTCCTCAGTATCCGAACTATCCCTTTTAAGAGAATAAAGTATTTTCTTTTGACTAAATCATTGTTGCAGCATTTATCCTTTTTATTTTCAGTTAGATGATGTTTAAAACATCACAGAACAATCACCATGAGCATTTTTAAGTTCATTTTACTTTTGACTTTGACTTGTTGCTGAAAATGTATAAAATATTGTTTAAATTGAAAGGTAGAGGTGGAGGTTCTCACTCAGGTTTTTACATTTTGCTCTTTCTGTTTCAGCACGATGCCCAGATGGACTACTACGGGACTCGGCTCGCCACCTGTTCTTCTGACCGCACCGTCAAGATCTTTGACGTCAGAAACGGAGGGCAGATCCTTGTGGCAGACCTCAGAGGGTAAGAAGTAGGGCTGGCCCATATCATACCGTTCACGGTAATACCGGTATAATGTTGGGCAACGATAAGAAAATGAAATATTGTTATAGAATATGGATAAACGCGCATGCGCAGTGCCTTTGTTTTCATATGCACGTGGTAGAAAAAGCATGGCGGCGACGCAGAATGAGAAGGGCGAAAGCGGATCGT